CTCTCCTCCCCTTCCCCACCGCAGGACGCTGCCCAAGACCTGCATGGAAAAGATCGTGGAGAACGTGCGGAAATTCAACATCCAGGGGCTGCTGGTCATCGGGGGGTTCGAGGTGCGGTGAAAATCCTCGGCCCTGTTTCGGTGGGGGCCGGGGCGGGCTGTCAGCATCCCAGTGGGTGCAGGCACCCCGGGCCCTCCCTTTTGGGATGCGGATCCAGCCCCGGGGCTGGCGTCTCCCCAGCCCTCGGCTGCTTGCAGGCGTACGAGGGGGTGCTGCAGCTGGTGGAGGCCCGCGGGCAGTACGAGGAGCTCTGCATCATCATGTGTGTCATCCCCGCCACCATCAGCAACAACGTGCCCGGGACCGACTTCAGCCTGGGCTCGGACACGGCCGTCAATGCGGCCATGGAGGTGAGGGACAGGGCGGAGGGCAGCTCACGGGGCCGTCCCGCTCCACCAGATCCCATCGTGTTCTGGGATGACATGCGGGAATGAACCAGCATCCCATCCCGGGCAGCAAAGATAGGTTTTCCTGGTGTGACACCCACTTCTCCCGGTGCAGAGTTGTGACCGCATCAAGCAGTCGGCCTCGGGCACCAAGCGCCGCGTCTTCATCGTGGAGACGATGGGGGGTTACTGCGGGTACCTGTCGACCGTCACCGGCATCGCGGTGGGCGCCGACGCCGCCTACGTCTACGAGGATCCCTTCACCATCCACGACCTGAAGGTGAGTGGGGCAGGGGGCTGCTTTCTGGCAGCATCGTTTGGGTAAAATAAGAAAGAAAACCAGGGAAGAGAGGGCTCTGGGGCAGGGCAGGATTTGGAGGAGCGTGGCCAGGCCCCATGAGTTGACGTTAGTGGCACTTGGGTCCAAACGAGAGGACCAGAGGGACCCAGGATGGCTGCCAGCATTCTGGCATTCATCTTGCAGGCCAACGTGGAGCACTTGACGGACAAAATGAAGACAGATATCCAGAGAGGGCTGGTGCTGCGGTGAGTTGGGGACCCCTGGGGACGCTCGCTGAAAAACCCAGCCCCGTGGTGGGGAGCGAGGCTGGAGCTGAGCCCTTCCTGTGGCCGGAGAGGGTCCCTGGGCGTAGCGAGGTTCGGCGCGGTGGGCGCACGGCATCCTGCCTGTGGATGCCACGCTTGGCCGGGGGGACAGTCCTGCGCTGGATGCCTCCACTGCCAGGGTCCTGCTGGGGAGATGGGCAGGGGCTCTGGGCCTCAGGGAGAACAAAACAGCCATAAAAAAGGAGTTTAGGGGAGCACAGAGGGACCCCCTGGGGACGCCAGATTAAGGAGCAGCCCCCCAATCCCTTCCCTTTGCTCCCCCAGCAATGAGAAGTGCCACGAGCACTACACCACCGAGTTCCTCTACAACCTCTACTCCTCCGAGGGCAAAGGCATCTTTGACTGCCGGATTAATGTCCTGGGCCACCTCCAGCAGGTACGGGGGACAGGGCCATACGGGCCATCGCTGTCCCCAAGAGCTGGGCGGGCTTGACATTGCCATTTCTTTGTCCCCAGGGGGGAGCGCCAACCCCCTTTGACCGCAACTACGGGACCAAGCTGGGAGTGAAGGCGGTGCTGTGGATGTCGGAGAAGCTGTTTGACTGCCGGATTAATGTCCTGGGCCACCTCCAGCAGGTACGGGGGACAGGGCCATACGGGCCATCGCTGTCCCCAAGAGCTGGGCGGGCTTGACATTGCCATTTCTTTGTCCCCAGGGGGGAGCGCCAACCCCCTTTGACCGCAACTACGGGACCAAGCTGGGAGTGAAGGCGGTGCTGTGGATGTCGGAGAAGCTGCAGGAGGTTTACCGCAAGGGTGAGCTGAGGGCGGTGGGGGGAGGCTGGTGGCACTGGGCAGGCCCTGCTGCTCTGGGCTCCGCCGCTCGGCCCCTGGCGAGGTGGCCATGGTCGGCCGTGTCCCCATCCCAGGGCGCGTGTTTGCCAACTCGGGCGACTCTGCCTGCGTGATCGGGCTCAGGAAGAAGGTGGTGGCCTTCAGCCCCGTGACAGAGCTCAAGAAAGTCACTGATTTCGAGTAAGTCCCCATCCCTGTGCCCCGCTGGTTTGCCAGGTCCCGGGGGGACCTTCCCAGGTTGTCCCCGGGGCCGCTCGAGATCCGTGTCCCACCCTGCGCAGGCACAGGCTGCCCCCGGAGCAGGGGTGGGTGAAACTCCGGGTTGGTGGTGAAGCCAACTACCAGATCAGCCTGACCGAGTATATCTCGGGGAAGATGGAGCACGTCACCCGCCGCACGCTCAGCATCGAGAAGGGCTTCTAGTCCCGCTAGCCCGAGCCGTAGTCCCTCTCCACATCCTCTCCATCCCCACATGCTGCTCAGGGAGCACTGGGTCCCCCCTGTTCTCAGTAGCCCTGTAGCTTTGTCACCGACCCCTTAAAGCAGGCAGAGCCTGGTCCCGGTTCCCAAAACAGCACAATCCTACCCCAAATCGTTGGTCCAGGGTCTGGTCCCTGTGCAGATGCAGAAAAGAGATGTTGCTACAGCCCAGCTGCACAGCCCAGACCCTTAATCTTCCCTTAATAGTTTATTCCTACTATTTAATGTTGGGGTATCTTG